AGTAAAGGAAGGAAGGAAGGTCTTAAATCAACATACAAGTAAAGGAAGGAAGGAAGGTCTTAGATCAACATACAGGTGAAGGAAAGAAGGAAGGTCTTAGATCAACATACAGGTGAAGGAAGAAAGGTCTTAGATCAACATACAAGTAAAGGAAGGAAGGAAGGTCTTAGATCAACTTACAGGTGAAGGAAAGGAAGGTCTTAGATCAACATACAGGTGAAGGAAAGAAGGAATGTTTTGCATCAACATACAGGTGAAGGAGGTACTGGGAATACGTATATAAATCTATAATATAAATCAGATCTACCAGCGTGTTAATTTAGATAGAAGACGAACGTAAAATATTTATGCATTATTATTTTGACTATTAACATCAACTAAGCATTATTATTAACCTCTTAAGTCTTACCAACTTATGTTAAAACTTTTGATAAGATATTATAAATGATAATAATTATAATACTCGATCTCGTTTATATAGTATTTAGAGGAAAATTACATAAAAAAACTATAATTATTCATGCTTTGAAATCTTACGCACATTAAAAGGGATTCAAGAATGTTGGTGTGGTTATTCATGGTAGGTATTTTCAGTGGCTATAATGGAACAAAAATTAACAAATTATAAATAAAATATTCTTCGACAAAATCACGAGGCGAGATTGATTATGTAGGATTTTTATTTTATTTTTTTTTTTTAGTTTTAGTTTTAAGAGAACGGTGAAATAGATTTTTGGTACTGACTAATAATTAATTATACCCGTATTATTTTTATTATTACCGGTATTATTTTTTATAACCATGGAAATATATTTGAAAAGATTTACAAGTATACTTCACAGATCGGTCATCTATGAATAAAATCTATTTAATTTTTATTTCACGAATGATGAAAGTATATCCGAAGTTCTGATGTGTAAGTTAGAGCTTAGTGAACTAATTGTCTATAGTTTGTTGAATAAGATTATTAAACTTTATTGAATAGTTATGAATAATAATTGTAATATAATTTATAGATTCAAATAAAAAAAATTATTTCGTATCGTATTACAATTTATCTTTTATTTTATTTAATATTTATATAAGTATTCAAAGTTAGGGACTTCAACGACATCGGTTCACTTAACACAGTTCACAAAGTCAGTATATATTCACAGCAGAAGACATCACTTATTACCAATATAACCTACAAAGTTATACCTTTGTTTCTTTAACAATATAAAACTCTAGTGACTGTTAACTTCGCGGGTAGTTCTGACTGGCTCGGGTCCTCTCACTGGCCGGCCTGTCACTCACCCTCCCGGCCTGACTCGTCATCATCTCAGCAGCTCAGAGTAACGGTCGGATTGTTAGTTGATTTCTGTGTTTATAGAAATTCAATATAATTTTAATTAATTTCGATTGACTGATTCTGTTACTGATTACTATAAATAATATTCATCAACGATCGTTAATATTACGGGAACATTCTTATCATAATGTGAGGGGTTGGGTCAAGTGCGAGTTTTTACTGAATTAAAACATTATACTATTTACTTATCAAGCGTGGCCGTATATTACTTATCGTTCCAGCTAACGTATATAAACTAGCCTAACCCGATACCTACAATAGCCTAATGTGTACTTGAAGCTAACCTAACCTAACCTAACCTAACCTAACCTAACCTAACCTAACCTACGTGACCGAAACTAAGCTGCTTCATCTACTCTAACCTATGCTATCCCTCATCCGACCTGAGTAATCCATAATTTAATCTAACCTACCTAACCTAATGTCACCAACTCTAACCCAACCTACCAAAGTTAGTTTTACTGGATTACATTTAATTACAACAAATAAACACCTAATGACCGAGTATTATATTGACTCATTCTGCCATGATTTCAGTTCCCTTATTTATATTACTCGGGAAAATTTATTAGATTTCCAGTATATGAATAATTGACACTTTTACTTGGAAATATATTTTTTCAGTAATTAATATATCTACGATTTCGATGAATTATTAATAAAAGCTGCTATTTTTATCGTTTTATTAAAGCCTCAACTAATATTCGGTCCAAGGAAATAAAATCTTTACGCTGACTTTTCTGGCTAAATCAACAATGTTTTTGTTAATGGCCAGGAAAGTTCCGCCCACCAAACACCTGTTATAACAAAGTCGAAAATTAACCAAATTTCTTCGTGTAATAACTGAAAAATTATCGTCAAAATTATAGATATATATAATTAATACTCTTCTGGGTGTGTTAACCACTTGTGTATGGGGTCCCCTCTGTGCCGAATAAAAACATCTGCATTAGCCAATAAAATATTAATAGCGGCGTCCCGGTAATGAAGGGGTTGGTAGTAAATATTTTCAATGAACAAGCGAGAATATTCTCTTTTTTTAATACCGGAAGTTTTATATTATTATCCACCAAAGAAGAAACTAACAAAGAGTAAAAAATATCAGAATTAGTTAGGATAAATCTTGTTAATAAACTACCGTGTATTAGCTGTATTGTATAGTATATTGAGGGAGGGAGGACCGCGTTACCTCAGTATAATTATAATACAACAGATAACATAAATTACCCGTAAATATTTAAGTATTATATATATAAATTAATGGAAATAGTCGTTGTAATTTTGTGAATATAATGTTTGTAAGGTCAAATAATAATAATAATAATTCTTAACATCTTGATTACTGTATATCGGAATATATACATGTATAATTGAGTTAATTACAAATCTATAATCAGGACACATATAGTTATAGGTTAAATGATTATGTATTAAGGTTATATAATTAAATTTGGTTATTAAGCTAAAACAAGTTGGAACCAAATTATAATTGTATATTCAGTATATACAGCATCATAATTACCGATGAACTTAATAAATGGAATAAAATACATTAAGGTGTTGGTTCGTATGTATCGTTAGTTAAGAATCCTCCCGCTAGTCTATTTCATCTCCGCTATAATGAACGGTTACGTGAAGACAATAGTTGTTCGCTTGTTGTCTGGCTGTAATAATGTAATAAAAATAATAATTAATTGGATAATGAATTAAAAGATATATTTATATAAAATTAATTATGACACTTGGGTTAAAAAAAGGCTAGCATTTACGAACAACGAATACGAGGGTGTCAGCATGAGGGAGGTCTTGAGCGTTTGATACGGGCGAGCGAAAAATGTGGGTCTCTCTCTCCCTCTCTCTGCTGCTGCCTTCCCTGGCTGTATACATCACCTCATACCGTCATTAGGTTGTGTTCACTCTATCCGGTACTGAGTCCCCGCCACCGTTAAGATAATCGGAATAAATTAGTACCTATTTTCATGACAAGAAGGTTTTGCTTCGCTATATTTTAATTTGGGTGATACTTACGGAGCTTGTGAACGAAACTTGCCACACCATCCGTCACCTGGCATAATTCAACTTCCCCGCCACTGCTGCAACGCCAAGACGACTACCCTATTATTCTAAACGTTACCTATTTTAAAAACCAGTATGTTACCAATTCAATATTGTGGTGCTTTGAGGTTTATCGTTCGAGTTTCGATTGTTAACACGTCGTGAGTACAACTATGATGTAACCGTTGTGATATATGTAATAAGAGTTGTGGAACCTTTGTTAGTAAATGGCTGTGTCTGGTACGGGCGGGATAAGAATTGTATAAAAACATTTCCTTGGTGATTAGCTCTTGCTGTATCATGGCGATGGAGACTCGTGAGAACCTAGGCCAACTGGAGGGTGTCCGACCAAGCTGCTGGACCCCGCCAGTAATGTTAATGCCTTACCTAATATAATCTAGTATTAATGGGATGCTTAATATAAACTACAGCAGCACTGCCATACTGAAATAATGCCATTAATGCCATGGCTTTGTAGCATTAATGCTGTGCTTTACATAATCTGAACCATTAATGCTATACGGTATTAAACACATGCCTTAGCATTAATGACACGATTAGTAATACAGGTAATGCCAATCTTGCAGAATTTAGTAGTTTGGACATTGATTAACATGCTTAACACAATTAATGCCAGAATTCAAATACCCATCGGTATTAATGATAAGCTTAACCATTGTGGCATTATTGCTATGTCTGGCAGACCAGTCATTAACTATGTTTTCCAAGCTGAATGGCGTACTTCACTCCCGCCTCGGTTATTACACTCGCATGCATTAACGATTTAATTAACACTCCTTAGCATCAACGCCTAAAATGCTATATTAGAAGATCAATAAAGATTAATTCTGCACCAAGGTCTGAGGGCTTGGGGCCAACATTCTGTACTAAGAGATATTTGGTGATCACTTTCTGACGTCCGTGAGGTATTGTCAAGGATGTCAGGAGTGTTGTCAGCGTTCTCAGAGAGCATCAGAACTGTCAAAATTGTCCCAGACATGTCACCTTTGCCACAAGACTGTCAACTTTGTCGGCGTTACGAGATGTCATATACTTGGGATGCCTCGCTGACTTCCAGACAACGTTGTCACCACCACTGAACATTGTCAGCGCCGTCAGTATAACAAGGGTGTTATTAACAGTACCAACAGGTGGTTGAGACATTATAACAGATAGTGTCAAAATTGTCACATGTCTTGTAAACGTTTCTACAGATGTTGCCAACACCACTGATGGGTGTTCTTAACAGTGATGTTTAAATTACTTCATCGTTGTCAATATTTTCGTAGGTGTTGTCATCACTACCAACAGGTGTTTGTCAAAATTAATACAGATGTTATTAACACTACCAACAAGTGTTTGTCAACATTATCACCGATATTGTCAGCACTACCAACAGGTGTTTGTCTTGTCAACACTTCTACAAGTGTTGTCAATATCACCAAAGGTATTGTCAACATTTTTCACATGTGTTGTCGACAGTACTGTAGGTGTTGTCAGCATTACCACATGTGTTGCAAGCAGCTTACTACCTGTTGTTAATAATGTCATGTTGTGAGCACTGTTTACAGGTGTGTCAACACATGTGTCTCACCTGGGGATCGGAGGAGTCGGGGCGAGACTTGGTGTTGGCTGCCATCCACGCTTCTGCAAACGTCTCCATGGCGCTCTGAAAGTCCATCGCTGAAGCCAGGTCAAAAGTTCACGGGGGGCACGAGGTGGACCTCCCCGCCACGCTAACCAGTCGCCTTGTTATTGTCGAGGCGTGGACGGCTGTAGCAGCTAACGTATGCGGTTTCAGCTGACGGTGCCACTCGTGTACCAGCAGCAGCAGTAGTAGCAGCAGCAGCAGCAGTAGCAGCGGCAGTAGCAGCAGCAACAGCGGCGGCGGCACTACCACTTGGGGAGCCACTAGAGAACACCACGAGTGGGAGACATGGTCACTGGGAGCGACGGCCAGGCACTGGCTCTTCACTGGGGTCTGGGCTTGGCACCGATTAAAGTCACTGCCACGTGCTAAGCTGTAAGCCGCGTCACTACACCACCACGTGTAGGTCGTCGGGTCGTTACCACTAATTAGTTCCGGCCAGGAGCACCACCACCACCGATGCGTCACCCCGGTCGTGCCATCCACGACTAGCTAATTTCCTACCAAAAACATACTTTATAAACAGCGAGTTTAGATAAGCCTCCATAATCCTAGATTAGGGGGCCATGCCGCGCAGACGCAGGAGCCGCCCAGTTTAACCCTCCGTTCTGTCTTCTTTTTGATGACGATAGGAACCTTATGAGCGGTGGCTAACTCATGTGATATCTGCCCATGTCACTGAGACTGCGCACCACCCAACTCTAGGCTAACACGACAACAGAAGGAGGCGCCAACTGAGATAATATCACCGAGGGGCGGAGGCACACGGAGCCCACTGGTTGCGCGCGCACCCGACCCTCAGTTGCCGCCGAGCTCCCGTCGCGACAACTTCTCGTGCGCTCCTACAGCGCCCAGCCAGACCATGTGTGTGCCTAGCTCACCCGCACACTTCATCCACACCATTATTTTTTCCCTTTTCACCCCTTCTTCGGGATGGAGTTATGAAGGCTGACGTAGAGACTGTCCTCCTTTTAATAATTTTTAGAGTTTGGTCTCAGTAGGAGCCATCAGAGAGAGAGGGAGGGAGGGTTTACACCTCTTTTTACGATCCCGCTCCGACGAGTCACGTTGGGGCGATCGTGCGTCTACGATAATCCACCAGCTTTACCGCTTACGTGGAGATTTGCCCTAATCCGATTGGGAACGTAATTGCTGCTGCCGAAATTTCTTTAAGCCAGCCGTAACAAAAAAGGAAGGAGGGACTCTCAACCCTCAGTAAAAAAGAGGAAGAGGAGAAACCGAAGACGAGAGAGAAGGAAGAGGTATAGGATGAGGGATGACCTTATACTGACGTGACGATCAGTAAGGAGTCGTAGCTGGGATATAAGTGGGGCAGGTCTTAGCTGAGACACATAGAACAGAGGTCTTAGCTGAGACACATAGAACAGAGGTCTTAGCTGGGAGACACATAGAACAGAGGTCTTAGCTGGGAGACACATAGAACAGAGGTCTTAGCTGGGAGACACATAGAACAGAGGTCTTAGCTGAGACACATAGAACAGAGGTCTTAGCTGAGACACATAGAACAGAGGTCTTAGCTGAGACACAGAACAGAGGTCTTAGCTGGGAGACACATAGAACAGAGGTCTTAGCTGGGAGCACAGAACAGAGGTCTTAGCTGAGACACATAGAACAGAGGTCTTAGCTGGGAGACACATAGAGGTCTTACAGAGGTCTTAGCTTAGGGAGACACATAACAGAAGACACATAGAACTCTAGCTGGGAGACACATAGAACAGAGGTCTTAGCTGAGACACATAGAACAGAGGTCTTAGCTGAGACACAGAACAGAGGTCTTAGCTGGGAGACACATAGAACAGAGGTCTTAGCTGGGAGACACAGAACAGAGGTCTTAGCTGGGAGACACATAGAACAGAGGTCTTAGCTGGGAGACACAGAACAGAGGTCTTAGCTGGGAGACACATAGAACAGGGTCTTAGCTGGGAGACACATAGAACAGAGGTGTAGCTGGAGACAGAACAGGTCTTAGCTGGGAGACAGAACAGAGGTCTTAGCATAGAACAGAGGTCTTAGCTGGGAGACACATAGAACAGAGGTCTTAGCTGGGAGACAGAACAGAGGTCTTAGCTGGGAGACACATAGAACAGAGGTCTTAGCTGGGAGACACAACAGAGGTCTTAGCTGAGACACATAGAACAGAGGTCTTAGCTGGGAGACACATAGAACAGAGGTCTTAGCTGAGACACATAGAACAGAGGTCTTAGCTGAGAGACACATGGAAGAGCAGTCATTACTTAGACATGTTGTGTGGAAGACTTGAAATAGAGATCTTTTGTGGGAGAGACAGGAAACCAATAGCTGACATGACTCCTGAAACAGAGATCAGATCACCAGATGATTCGCCCCCACAGCTTATTTCACCTGATGATTAAGCACCCTAACGCTAACCTAATCTAACCTGACCTAACCCTAACCTAAACTGACCAAATCTAACCTAACCTAACACAACCTAACCTAACCAGACCTAAATAAACCAGACCTAACCTAACCTAACCTGACCTACCCTAACCTAACCTGGCCTAACCTGACCTACCATAACCTAACCTGACCTAATCTAACCAAACCTAATTTACCCTAACCTAAACCCCAGCCAGATAGCATTAGGGGGTTTAATCACCAGGTAAAATTAAGCTTAGGGGAGCGAATTTTCAGGTCAGAGAACTAACTGCCTTGAGACACATGGAACACGGATTAAAATTGAAGATACATACTGCAACAGGTATCTTACACCACCACTGTCTCTCAACCACCACTGTCTCTCAACCACCACTGTCCCTTTACTGCCGTTATCTCTCAACCATCAGTCTCTACCACCACTATCTCTCAACCATCAGTCTCTACCACCACTACCTCTCAACCATCAGTCTCTACCACCACTATCTCTCAACCATCAGTCTCTACCACCACTATCTCTCAACCACCAGTCTCTACCACCACTATCTCTCAACCATCAGTCTCTACCACCACTATCTCTCAACCATCAGTCTCTACCACCACTATCTCTCAACCACCAGTCTCTACCACCACTATCTCTCAACCACCAGTCTCTACCACCACTATCTCCTCAACCACAGTCTCTACCACCACTATCTCTCAACCACCAGTCTCTGCCACCACTATCTCTCAGCCACCAGTCTCTGCCACCACTATCTCTCAACCACAGTCTCTACCACCACTATCTCTCAACCACCAGTCTTTTATCACCACTATCTCTCAACCACCAAAGTCTCTGCCACCACTATCTCTCAACCACAGTCTCTACCACCACTATCTCTCAACCACCAGTCTCTACCACTATCTCTCAACCATCAGTCTCTACCACCACTATCTCTCAACCACAGTCTCTACCACCACTATCTCTCAACCACAGTCTCTACCACCACTATCTCTCAACCCACCAGTCTCTACCACTATCTCTCAACCACCAGTCTCTACCACCACTATCTCTCAACCCACCAGTCTCTACCACCACTATCTCTCAACCACCAGTCTCTACCACCATCTCTTAACACCAGTCTCTACCACCACTATCTCTCCAACCACCAGTCTCTACCACTATCTCTCAACCATCAGTCTCTACCACCACTATCTCTCAACCACCAGTTTCTACCACCACTATCTCTCAACCATCAGTCTCTACCACCACTATCCCTCAACCATCAGTCTCTACCACCACTATCTCCCATCCATCACTATCTCAACCAGCTCTATATCAACCACTACTATCTCTCAACCACCACCACCACTATCAACCACCACCACTATCATCCACCACCACTATCAACCACCACCACTATCAACCACCACCATCTCTCATCCACCACCACTATCAACTACCACCACTATCAGCCACCACCACTATCTCTCATCCACCACCACCATCCTCATCCACCTCCACTATCAACCACCACCACTATCTATCCACCACCTATCTCTCATCCACCACCACTATCAACCACCACCACTATCTCTCATCACCACCACTATCAATACCACTATCTCTCATCACGCCACCCTATCTCTCCATTTCACCACACTATCTCATCACCACCATTATATCACCACCACTATCAGCCACCACCACTATCTCTCATCCACCACCACTATCAGCCACCACCACTGTCTCTCATCCACCACCACTATCCACCACCACTATCCACCACCACTATCAGCCACCACCACTATCTCTCATCCACCACCACTATCTCTCATCCACCACCATTATCTCTCATCCACCACCACTATCAGCCACCACCACTATCAGCCACCACAATTATCTCTCATCCACCACTCTTACCGAGCCTCTACTCTCCGTCACCTCGGGTTTCCAAAAGAAAGTCAACTCAGTCTCTGGATAATTCAGAAATCCGGCAGTACTTAGCGAGTCTCTGGGATCGGATAACGAGGTGATCCGTGTGTGGCTGCGGCCGTACGGACGTGTGGCCGTGTCTCCAGCAGGAATTATCCCAACTAGCAGATCCGCTTTGCCCTTTTGACAGGTTAAGCACTGCGGACTTAGCAGGAAATATTAATCACTCACGCACTTGAAGGCACTCAGTAGCTCGGCATTAATAATAATAATAATATCCTCTACAATTAATTTAAAGAAAAGAGTTTCCTCGCTCTTAGATGTTAGATGTTGAAAAGCAGTAATACATTATAATATCAATATCGACCTGTTTCTTACAAATATCTTCTTTTAATATTTATTTGAGTACAAGCTATTCTTGAATCTTGAGTTTCGAGATACCACATTACTGCATAACAATATTTTTTATCTCCCTTGAGTTATTATTATTGCTGTACAAGAGTATAAAGTGACGTAGTGAGCGAGGTCTTAGCTTCCTTATTAAGAAGCAAAGAACTATGGATAATTTGGATAATGGTGATTAATTGTCAATTCTCGGAACACAAGTCACGACTAATAAGCGTTTCTAACGTAACTGTAGCGTCCGTGTTTTCTCTTGGGTCCTGGGTACTTGAGTGGGAGTTCTTAAGTAGGCAGTAAGGACCTATCATCAACCCTATAACACGAATGGTGTAGCGAAGCTCTTATGTTATGGAGATAATAATGTCTCCCGTCCTCGTAAATAGTACCGGTACATGGTTACTCTGTCCCGTCACTTCAGTTACCACTCATGGGATCTGTAGACCCAAGTGATGCAGCGGTACAACTGTTACTCCTCCTCCAGCTGTTTCCCTTTCTGTTCGGGGTCTATATCACACACTGCCCACTCCATAGTCCTCCTTCATCTCTACCGCTCCTCAGTCGCTGTCATCCATATTCCACAATTTTCCTACTATTAACAGTTGCCCTTTCGTGTGCGGGGCTGACTGGCCCCAAGGTTACCTAAGCGTGAATTGTCTAAAGTGTAGAATCAGCCGCCAAAACAACAACCAAACTCTGAGTTAACGATCTGATAGACTTGACGACCGGACACTCGCTAACTGCACTGGGTAACCATTACCTAAGAATACAATCCAGTATTCGATTAACATTCAAATACTCAATTACTGCTAGACAAAGCCTAATGGCATAAAGAAATTTGGCCATAATTTACCTTTTCTTATGAATTGAACATGAGGCCATACACTTGAAAGGCGAGTATACACACAACTATACAACACGCTGCCAATCATAATAATTATGAGAAGAGCGATTAATGATTACGATAATATTAACACAATAAATACGAGTAAT